AGGGAGTCATGGTATAAAGAGCCAAAACAAAAACAAAAAACAGTGAAATATCAGAGGTTTTCTGAAATGTTTATTAATGAAACTGATACGATTTTACATGAAGTATTTACAGTGAGGATGATAGTTTTGCAATATTACAAGTTGAACTTCAAGCTGAACCCTGCAACAGCAGCGGATCCTTTCTTTGATGACGGCATGTGAAATCCTTGTGAACCAGAAGCACTACTGCTATCACCACCATCTTTCTATGAATTGAACAAAAAAAAATGAAAATATCACAACTGTTCAGTGAGCTATTTCCATCAAATTATAGTTGAATCTACCAGTAATACAGCACCAATCGAAACCTGCTTTTGATTGCTGCTAAAGTACAGCAGCTGTATTGTTAGGTTAGGTTTTGTTTTATTGTTGGAAGACTTATCTATTGTTTGTCCATAATTGTTTTCTTGAGACCCGTTCAAATTGGTACTGACTGGCCCAAAGCTAACAGATACTGTGTCTCCTCCCTCCCCTCCCCTCCCCCATAAGTGCATTAAGCTTTCATGCTTGAGTTTCTTCACAAAATTATTTTTCTTTTCAAGTTCTTTTAAATCTCAAAAATTTGATTTTCAAGAGTTTTTTTTATGTTTTTTTTTCAGATTGCGGTGATTTTTGAAAATGATGGCATTTCAATGAAAAAGTTAATAATGTAACTCTGACTCCCTTGTGTGGTTTTTAATTGATCAACTTACTAGTTTTGAAAACATCTCTCCTCCCTCAGGAGGCTTTGGACTGTGCTCGTAGTCCCTTCGCTTTGGTCTCTTCATCATTTCACTTTTTGCAGGCCATGTTGGAAACATTTCTGGCTTCACAGGAAATGGTGATTCCTGTTACAAAGAGAAAATTAAAATCATATGTTAATTCGAGAAATTATGAATGGACAGATGACAGAATGAATGAGAGGGTCATCGATAAGTAGTGGGATAGTGGAATGAATAAATGAATACTGGATGGATGGAAAAATGAATGAACGGCAGGGGATATGAATGAATTCATAAATAAACATATAAATGAATGGGTAGATAAATGGATGAATGAGAAAATCCTTACATTAAAATAGTCATGCTCTAATCCTTTCTCAGCTGTTACTCTTCTTTTTGGATCATAAGTCAAAAACCTTTTGACGAAAAAAAAAACATAGTGCCAGAGTTTTGAAGTTTTGAAAGTCATTTGACACTTACTTGTTTAAGAGATCAAAACCCTTGTCGGTCAAGTGTGTCCCAAATTTGTTTCTTAACTGATTATATGGATATTCTGTGAAGGTCATCTGGGAATAGAATGATGTTTAAGTTTATAACGACTACGCTAGAATACTCTAATTTCAAGTTCTGGTTTGCTCTGTGTTAGCCTCAAAACCAAGTAACATATTCTTTTGTTTTGATTGATAGCTTGAGAAAACGCATGGAATTTGTGAAGAAATACAAAAAATTTGATTCGAAATCTCACACTTTTATTCTCACAATAGGAATATTTTGTGCACAAATGAGGCTAACACAGAGCATTGGAGAATTTGAAACTGGAGCATTCAAAAAATAGTTACTAAAGATTTACTAGATTAGTACACTTAGTGCGCCATCAATATAACATATGCATGTACAAGTACGGTAGTACCTTTTTAACATGCGGTAGTTCTGAGTAAGCTGGTGGGCCAGGCCATATCTTATCGCTGGGGGTGCCTAGATCCTGATATTGCAATATAACTCATGAGTTAAAATAAATGAATGAAGATTTTTTTAGGTAACAAATTTTAATACTTGCTCCATTAAATAATACACCAAATTGTAATATCATTACAAACCTTAAATATTCTATTAATTTGATCAATTTCTGATTTTCCAGGAAACAGTGGTTTCATGGTCAAAAGTTCAGCAAATATGCAACCAACAGACCACAAGTCAATGGGACAGGCATATTCCTGGAAAGAAAAAGCCAAGTATTTTATCATTCAAAAAACATAGGAAGATATAGGGGAGCAGTCACTCCACTCAAGTTTTCTCCTTGCTAATATTAGACCTTG